AGTAGAGAAAAAATAAAAAAAATTGTTTATTCATAAATTTTACGTTTGTGGAAAAATTAATGTAATACATTAAAAAAAAGTCGAACAAAATTGTACGTAATGCATGTATATATAAATACATATTCACATATGCCTACAATAAATACGTATTTTATATATGTACAGCTCGAATGCTTGTGCTTATAATTCATTATAATACAAGCCCATAAGTTTTGTATGTAAAGGGATAGGAATGACATTTCGATTTTACGTTCACTTGAAAATTTTAGTTTTCTCGAAATTTTATTTTACATCATAATTTTTTTACCCATAAGGAAAATTGTACACAGATTTTTTTTTTTTTTTTATTTGCAACCAGTTTTCATATGCTCCAATGGAACATATGCATTTTTGAAAAAGTCTACATGAAGAATAAAAATCTATATAAAACATGCATTCTCTTGTTATTCTCATTTCAGAGGGAAAAAAAAAAAATATTATTTAATTGAAAAAACACATATAAAGAGGCGCGTCGGAAACACTTAAAAAAAACGCATAAAAAAGAAATTATAAACAAAAAAAAAAAAAATCGCAACGGAAAGGCATTTTTTTTAAAATGATCAATGATTTAGAAGAACATAAAAATTATAATGTAGAAATATCCGTTGATTCCACATCAGGGACTCAAGAAGAAAATTCTGAAGAAAAAAATGGCAATGTGTGTGTAGTAGAAAACACGGAAGATGTTTTTTATGACATCTCCGAAGAAACGGAGCACTCATCGGAGCAAAGGAACCACGAAAAAAACGAATTAAACAATTTTTATGATTTAACTGAAGTAAAAGGGAAAAAAGAAGAAGTTATATGCATAAGTTCAAATTCGACAAATGTTGTTCAAAGCGAAAGTTCAGCTTCTTCAGAAGGAAACGGAAATGAAGAAAAAGAAAATTTAGAACATAGGGATGATCAAATTGTGCCCATAGAAGTAGAACCAAAGCATAATTGCAATATTGAAAACTACGGTGATGTGTGTAATACGAGTGGAACAAGCAGAAATGAGAACAGTGCCCCCAATGGACGAGCTACCAATGGGAATAACACTCGAGGTGGCAGCCATGACGAAGATAATAATGACAGAAATTACAATAAAGAGGAAAAAACTACGTACGTGTTATGCAACATTTGCGCTGATATTATGGAAAAATCCATCTTTCAGGATCATTTATATGCACATACGCTAGAATTTCCAGAAAAAAATGAACAAAGTTGTGCTGCATATGAAAAGCAAAAGAACCCAAATAATGGCCTATTCGACACAAGAAATAACAGTTTCTATACTAATTTCAACTCAGACAGAAACAAACAAAACAGATGTGCACTAAAACGTGCCTTCAATGACACCAATTGTACTTTTAACAACTCTGAAATTATTTTAACTGATAATAATGACCATCATGTCGAGGAAGATAATAGAATTTTCGACATGATTTATAATTACAATTCCAATCTTGACCGTTTTAGAGACAACCCAGCAGTTATCAATAGAAGGAACAGTAACAGCCTACTTTGCATTTCCGAAAAGAAGAACAACATGGTAGATAACAGAAATAACCTATGCAACAGAGGTGTAAGTGCGCAAAATATAATAGAAATTGTGACCCCAGGGGAAAATAAAGTAGAAGACATTTTATCGGTCAGCACCAATGTTGAGCATGTGACAAGAAATGGAGGAGCAGAGCGAAATTTACCCAATAAATTAGAACATAACAAAACGGCTGTTGATAATTACTTGTCTGCTATGAGAGAATCCCTTTCTGCCATTTTTCCTGACCCCAACGCATCACCATTTGAAAATAGAAGCACAAGTAACAACATGGACAATTATAAAAACGAGGAACATCATAGCAGTATTATTAACGACATACATTCCATGATAAGCCAAATACAAGATAACGTAAAAAGGGCTTTAGAAAAGTCGAACAACAGGGTTAATGATAACAGTGCAAATGAAGATATAAACAGTTTTGTGAATAAAACTTTGAGTTCCATACTCACAGATATAAATGACATAAAGGGAACAAATAGAAGAAATGGAAAAAATGATGATTCTGTTGATGATGTGTTAAATACAAAATTGAAGAAAATATACCAAAGTTTAGATCATGTGAATGAAAAAATTAACTCTGAAATGGAAAATAATATAGACATTTCAGGAAATGAAAATAATGATACCCATGACAGGAACAACATTGTCAACAGCATCAGCGGGGGTATACTTAACAGAAGCAGCATTACTATTGTTAATAGCACTGATGGAGGTAATAACGGGAGCGAGATGCCCATGGGAAGTGTGAGTCACACGAGCAATGAAAACGTTATCCACATGAACAGCGCCAGCAGGAACAATGGAAACATTAATATGAATAGAAGTAACAGTTACCGAGATGGCAACTCGAGTGAGGAAAGTACCAATCGTGGAAGACAAAATAATGTTTATACAACTGGACCAGGTGCCCAGGAATTCAATGGTAGAAACGGCGGAAGCACTTTTTTTCATAATCAAAATGTATTTTCACATGAAAGTTTTTTTACAGGAATACCAGCAGATTCAGCACACACATATTTCTCCCACTCATGTACAAATGCGTATAACCAAAATATACCTACAGATAGTGGAAGCATTAATGATATAAATTATTTATATTCCAATTTGGTAGACAGATACCCATGTATTTGTGAAAATTCGGGGTTTTCCCATTTTGACAATAACTCTAACAATATATGGCCCTTAAGAAGAGTAACAAACAACAGCACCTTTAGAACTTCTAATGACTCACCAAATTCTAGGCTTATTAAAGAAGCGAATAACATGAACATAAATTCTAACACGTTTGATTATCGGAACGAAGGCAGTAACAATGGCCATAATAATATTTGGCCCATAAACAATGGAAGAAATACGAACAATCCATTTCTGTTCATGGCAAATAGACATAACAGAAACATCAGGAGTGATGTTAGAACGAATCAAGTTGTTAACACCATTACGAACAATTACAGCTTCATCAGCACTAGTAGAAATAGCACAAGCAGTAGAAACGCGAACCATGGCACTGGGAGAATCTACAACGGGAATAGCAACATTGGAACTACATCTATCATTAATATAAATAATTTCAATTGTGTTACTACCAATAACAATTATAACAACTATAACAATAACAGAACTGCTGCTGTGGGTGCGCCTATTGGTCCTGTTGGCCCCCATGTAACTGCTGCTCCTGTGGGATTTCCCACGGTCAGTGCTGCACATGCGGTCGTTAATGCGGCTGTAATGGCTGCAAGAGGATTAGCTAGACCCCCTGGAGCGTGTGCAGGTGCAAGGACAGGAACTATTGCAGGGGGGGGGCCCTGTGGTCAAGGCGTGGCCCCCCTTCTCGGTCCACCTACTAGTACGTGCTCGTCCAGGGTTAGCACTACAACTGTGAGAGCGAACACTGAAGCAAATTTAGATCCCGCTTTCACCTATTACGTTTTGCCCCCACGAGGGGCCAGCAGGACCAACCGCAGCAATGGGGCGAACAGTAACGTCAGCGGCGCAAACAGTAACGTGAGCGGCGCACACAACAACGACAACATCAACAATAGTAATATCACGACGAACAACACGCGCAACGTTAATAATGGTTCCGCGATGACCACCTCCCTCAGTGCAAGCTCAGCTGACGATGTCACCATTGGTAGCGACCCACAAACACCAGCAGACAACCCGTGTGGCGCAAATTTAAGAAGAGAACAAACGTTAACTCGAAGCAACGAAAGGACCAATAGAATTGTAAATAGAACAACACGAGGAGTGGCCAATACATCTAGCACCACGAGAGAACAACCTGGAAGTGGAAATAAAAAAATAGGTACGCGCGCAAAGTTAAAGGAAAATAATGATTACCTAATTGTGCACTTTGACACAAAAAAAAACGAAAATAATAATTTAAAAATATGTTCCATTTGTTATGAAAATTACCAGCACAACGAATCTCTTATATTTTTGCCTTGCACACACAATTTTCATAAAGCCTGTATAATTGAGTGGATAAATAAAAAGTCAACCTGTCCTATTTGCAAAATTAACATTAAAAATTTTTAAAAAGGGGTCTTTACTCCACTCCGCTTTACGTTGCTTTTGAAATTAATTTGCATTTAAATTGTTAAGGAGTTTTCATTTTTACAGCTTAATATGCATAAGGGCGTTGTGCATATTTACAAGTGTCTGTATATGTATAAATACATATGTAGCATTTTTATGCATGGCTTCATCCTTCCCTTACGGGAGTGTAATTCCGCTTTCGCTTTCACTGCTGTCCCCATTTATTTCTCCATTTTTCTTCAATCCTGTTTGTATAGTGTATTGTATGAGCAATATGTACAGATGTACAAAAGATCGTTTTAAAAAAAAATTTTTTTTAATTCGTTTTTTTTTTTTTCTTGTCTTTTCCTTTTATATATAATATATTATCACATTATGTCCAAACACGATGAAAAGAAGCAAATTTGTAAACACACAAAATTGTGTAAATAAAAAAAAAAAAAGAGTAGGGTTTCCTTGCAGATGCACACATATAAATGTGTACACGGGAAAATATAACACAAAAAAAAACTACAAAAACTGCGTGCATTTATGTCCTCACCAAACACGTCCCCTTGAAACTGTTTGGTCCCATGTGGGGATTTGAACAGCCCACATCGGAATGCTGGTGGCAATTCGTAAAATGTGGTGCCTCGGAATCTTTTACAACGTTGGGTACTCGCAGGCACAAAAAAAAAAAAAAAAAAAAACAACTCTCTTCTATAACTGCACCTACTTGTTCGTGCAGATATGACCATTTTAATCGTGTCATGGTAACTTCATAACTTGGCAATGTATATGTCGTTGCTCCCTTTTTTGCCTTCACAGTTCAGACGCCTTCCCGCCCTGCGACCCAAATTTCTCAAACGGTCCTACATGCGCCCGTAACCCTTCACGGGTCTGCCATGTATTTAAGGCAATATAGGAGAATCGCTCCCTCCCCTTTCTTATGCCTTTAAATTGGTGAACTGCGCTTTTGGCGTGTCTTTCCTCCACATATTCAGATTTAGTGACAATACTCTTTGGGGCTACAAACCAGAGGGGAGTCATTTTTTGCGGCTTTTCTTCCTTTCCCTTTTTTCCTTGTCTTTCTTATATTTTATAAGTTTCTTGATATGGTCATACTTCTTTTTCTCTTTATGTTTGTCTTTTTTTTTTTTCTTCCGCTCCTCCTTTTCCTTGTCCCTTCTGCCATGATCTCTATGTTCTAACCGTTTGCCGTGCCGATGTGTGTCACTTTCTGACGAGTCGCTTCTCCGCAGATGGTCAGTTTGTCTCTGGTGGGTCTTGTTGTCACAAAAAGGGTCCTCTTTATTTTTTCTCACCTTTACCTCCTTGAACTCATTTGTGTTCGCAAAAATGCTGCTCTGTCTCCTCAAATACCACTCATTTTGACTTAACTTAATTTTGTCGAAATCTGAAACAATTTTTGCATTACTAGTTTTTTCATAGATACAATTTTCTCCATTAAAATTTTTATCGTTGTAAATGTAGTGTCCTTTTTTTATTAAAAATTCTTCATGCTTTTTGTTCCTTTCATTTATTTCTTTTTCCTCTTCTGCAAATAGGTTAATGTGTTCACATTGATGGTTGCGCCCATTTTGGAAGGCATCGCCTCTGTGCTCGCTTCTTTCATGGGCGCTGCTTTGATGCGCGTTCTGCTTCAGCTGACTGATGGTGTTTTCAAATGCCTGCTCATTTTTTTTTCTCACTTTTTTTTCTTCTTCCTTTATAAGTTTGTTTTCGTCATAATTCACTTTAAACTGCCTATCCTTTCTGTAAACGTTCCACTTCTTCTGTGGCAGGATGTTTAACCCTCCGTGGCCGCCCATGCCCGCGTACCCCCTCCTCACAAGTTTTAAGCGCAGTGCGTGAGAAGTATTAATAAAAAGTGTACCTCTGCTTCAAGGTTAACCGTACTAGAGACAGTCGTCAAGCGGAACACGTCTCACAGCTGTCCTGCACGAATGCAATCATCGGCGCAAGCATAAACCCGTTTAAAGACTGAACATATTCTGCTTTTCTCATTTTTCCCTCCTTTCATACCATCAGTCGCGGTAAAAAGAAATGCGTCGAAATGGAAGGGAAAAGACCCTCCTTTTTTCTTTATCTTGCTTTTTTTTATTTCCCCTCCTGCACGTTTTGACCCATCTTGAAGTTTTTATATGTTTTGCAAATTTGTTTTGTCAAAATGGAAAAGCGCTGAACGGGGTGAAATTGCTCAGCTGGAAAAAAAGGAAAAAAAAAAATTAAAATAGCCAATGTGGAGAAAAAAGCAAACACAAATGCCCCGCTCGACAACTATAAATTGCCAACAATTTCATGAAAAATAAAAAAAATAAATTCCCTCATTTTTTGAACAAACGGTTATAAATTTACAATTATGCCTTTTTTTTTTTTTTTTTTTTTTGTTATAAAAATCATTTTTTAAAAAAATTGCCTGAGCGTTTATTATATGTACCTTCCAGATGTTATCATTGCAGTAAAAAAAAAGGGGGCTGGTGGGGGAGGAGAAATAGTTGTCCGTGTGTCTCTTCCGCGTATGCGTTAAGTGTGGCACAAGTGCATCCCTACACGAACGTTCAAATGGTTAACCATTTGTGCACATATCTTTTGTCCCTTGGAGACTCCACAAAAAAAGTAGGCAGCCATTTCTTATTAGTAACACATTATGCTTAAAAGGAAGAGGCGCAGCAAGTTTAGCTCCTTGAGTTGTAATTCCGTTTAGACGCTTTGCAAGAGGACAAATGATTACTAATTGAAAGGCGTTACGAAGAGGTGCGCTTGAAGGTGCTTTCTCAAGAAGCGAATAAGACGCCTATGCATTTACGCCCTCATATTTTTACCGCCAAACGGCAGGGGGAAAGGTTACAACTGCACACTCCCGTTTTTGTCCAGGTTATGCTTGAACATATAGTGGGGGGGTCAATTCAAAAAATAAAAATAACGCAAAATTGCGCGCTTGTTTTTTTTTGGAACATAAATTTTAGGCAGGTTTACAACTGATGCACATTCATGCCCATGTTGACAAAACAGGCCGCGAACAGTTTTCTCGCGCTGAGTTTCCACTAGGGTATCCTCTTTTTTTTTTTTTTTTTTTTTTTTGTTTTACAAAGTCTTACATACGAATATATTCACTTATAAACATAAGAATGTAAAAAATTTAATTTATGTCATATGCAGATAAATACGTATGTGCCAAAGAAAAAGAACAAGGAAAAAAAAAAAAAAAAAAAGGAGTGATAAGGAATGATAAGGGAAGAATGAAAAGAAGGTACGTAATTATATAATAATAAATTATGCATCAAAATTTAAGTACACATAAGAAAATCAATACTACACAATGATACGTGGAGAGGGGGACGCACACACATAAAAAAAAAAGCTCGTATGCGCGGGAGGCGCTAAAAGTTACCACGTTATCTTGATGAAGAGGCAGGTTGGTGGCGCTTCCCTTGAGGCGCACATGGGTGAAAAGGGGGGCACACACACGCACGTGCAGGTGTGCACACAAATTACAATAAATATACATACAAATACCAACGTACATATGTACACGCACCCACGCTACTCCCCGTTGTTGGGGGAAATGGACCTCAACACAGAAAAGTCGTTGAACCCACAATTCTGGCACGTGTAGTAGTCCCCCATCTTGAACCCATTGGGGTTGACGTACTTACAAGTCCGACATTTAATAATAAATTTTTTGTCAATTTTGGAGTTAATTCTTTTTCTCTTTCTGTTCTTATTCTTTGATTTACTTCTATTATTCTTGTTCAAAAAATTAAGTTTCCTGTAAAGGTGTAAGCCTTCATGATTGGACGAGGAGGAATTCGTTTCACTTCCAAACCCTTTCTTATCGTCGTCCTGTATGGACTTAAGCATTTGATTCTCACGCTCTAGGGTGAGTCTTTGTTCTAAAATGTTACGAAGTTCGTCTGCGTCTATTCTACATGCTTTTAATTTTTTTAAATAATGTTGAAACGAGTTTTTGTTATTATAAAAGTCATGGTATCTCTTGTACTGGCCATTTTGACTAAATTTTATATTCGAGAAATCACCTCCGTGTGTCTCTTCATTTTCGGGTGTGCTTCTGTTCATGCTACCATAGTAGTTGCTATTGGCGGCATTGCTGAAGGGACCTCCGTTGCCGCTGTTGATGTTACTGGGGGTGTCACCCTCGTTGCAGCCAAGGCTATCGCTCAAATGGCTGTTAAAGTGGCCGCTAAAATGGCTGCTACCCGCTCCATTACTGAAGGCGCCATTGCGCGCCTTCAACTTTAGCAAGCCTTGGAACCTCCCGTCTATTATATTTGCTTCGTCCTGCAGGGGAAAAAA